AAATTAAAGATTTGAGCAAATAAAAAAATTTTTGCACAATAATACTCCAAAAAATACGCTTATTTCGTTAAGCGAATTGGGTTTGAGCACTCTGGCATGGCTTAGACGATACCACAAAGGTTGGGTCGTTTGGGGTGACCGTCTCGGTTCTCCCCCATCCTAGCATTAGCACTGCACTGATGAGGCCCAAAAGGCCGAAACAGTACTGTCTGCAGTTATATATATATATATCTCTATATATATATATATGTAAGAAGAAAAGAAAATGTATACATAATGCTATATTTAAAACATGTACATGATTTATCTAAAAATATTGAAAGCTAGTTTGAATAAATGAGTCTTCAGTTGAGTTTTAAAACTTGCGATACAATTCACGCTGCGCAAGCTGGCTGTCGCCAATTGTTTTCTTCATTCTTCCTGAGGGATACTCTAAACAAATACCATCGTTGGAACGCAAGGAATAGCGTGTGTTCTATTATTGCATTGACTAAGTCCGCTAAGTAGGCTGGTGTCATTCCACGAAGAACTGAGTGAGCAACAAGAGTTTAAAATTAATTCTGTATCTTACGGGTAGCCAATGCAAATCAGTAAGTAAAACGGGCGTAATATGATTGTACTTTCTACTTGACGTGAGCAGCGTAGCTGCAGCGTTCTGTACTCATTGCAATTTGGGGATTTGACGGTCCGGTATTCCATAGAGGAGTCCATTACTGTAATCTATTCTGCTATTAACAAAAGCATACAACACCATTTCTAATTTCTCTCTAGGCAGATATTGGCTTATTATCTTGATATTATGTGGCCAGAAAAATGCAGCACTGCAAGACTTAGATATATGTGCTGACACAGTAAAATGCGAGTCAAACCAGGCACCGGGATTACGCACTTGAGAAACGGGCTTTACATCCACCGTGCCAACATGAACTGAACGGTGATTAATCTTAAGCAACTGCCGTCTCGCGATCGATCAAATAATAAGGAATTCTGTCTTATCGTCATTTGTTTTTAACTTGTCCTGGTATACCATTTGCATTTATCACCTAGAGGGTGTCCTCTTTAACGGAACACAAAGTTCTGAATTATGGAAAGAAATATTTGGAAGCTATAAGGGAGAATAGCGTCAGATCCTTGGATTATAAAGCCAACCATGCGTGATCCTATTATTTTCACTGGTGTAGCATCAAGATCATACACAAGGAAAGCGAAGATAGCGAGAGAATAATGAAAAGACAGATGAAGAATACACGACATAAGGACGCCATTGGCTAACAACCAAATAATTTGGATAATCAGGAAGCCGTGAACACATAATAATAATCAAGCACGTCTTCACACACTTCTTCAATGCCAGAAAGAGCAATAAGTCCTGACTCAAATAGAATTCAAACTTCAACCTTTCAGAAGTGATAAACAATATTTGAGTTGATAAACAGACGTGACCTGTTCTCAATCGCGTGCTTGATTAACATTTGACTTCGCGTGTCGAGAGCAAAAGAAGAAGAAACAGAAAGTAAACAGGCCACCCTAGAGTTGTCCTGTTTTCTCCAAATAACTTTAAAGCTTAACAGAAATCGTTTACATTTGCATGAATGACTGGCTGGCCAGACAGAAAAACATAGGGGATGGAGTTTGCTTTTAACAGTCTTGTTATCTGGAATCGATCAACATTACTGCA